TAGTAAGATAAAAGGTTACTAGCAGTGCATAATGTTAAAGCGCTTGTTAATAGCAGTGCTGTAGGGCAGGTAATAGTAAGTAGGATATTTAAAATAGTAAGTCTCTGCCTAAAAGTTAGCTAGCTGTTACTTTAAAACTTAGTTCCTATAGAAGGCATTCCTTATAACCTCTTACATAACTAAGCTTAGTTTACTGCCTGTCTTTCTATCTGTATCTACAACAATCTACTTACCTAGTAATTGTACAGTCCTCTATAGGTCTGTCTTCTCCCACCTCTTCACAAACTAACACTTATTAGACAGCCGCAGTTGCAAACTATGCCTAAGCAACCTATAAAAAAGCGTCTAGCTAAACCGCGTACCCCCTATTCCTGTGCCAATGTTAAGGTAGTCCCACTAGCCTAGACTAATGGCGGCGAGCTCTTAGGCGCAGACGTTGTTGTAGATAACGCTAGCAACTAGGGTCTTTTAGCTGCTGTAACTTTGTTAGAGCTCTCTACTAAAGCTGTAGACTAAGGCCTAGAAGGTGCCTCTTCTAAACCTAACTTAGAGGAGCTAGCTCTATTAGGCAAGCTGCCTTAGGAAGTGTCTAACAATCTATAAAAGTTACTAGCAAAGGGGGAGGCAGATAGCAGCACAGTAGGAGAGGAGCGCATACAATCTAGCAGTCCTACGTCTTTGCTAGAAGCCTATAAGACGCTAGATGCAGGATTATCTATTAAGCATCTAGCTAAATGCGACATGCATGATGCATCTGACCTTAAGCACACCGTGGTCGCTGACAGAGCTAGTTAGGAAGCAATAGAGACAGAGGAGGCGCAAACTCTAGACAACGTGATTAAAGACAAAGCTTTGTCTACTAATAATATAAAAAGAACCTTAGGTATACAGAATAACTAGTAGCCTAGACAGTTTACTAACAATGTTAAAGGCAATCTAATTATTATTAATAATAAAGATAACAAAGAGATAGAAGAGATAGAAGAGATATTAGTACAGCCCTGTACGTCCCCTTGTCTAAACAAGGGCAAACAAGCGCTTAAAGAGGGGATCATGCTATAGGCAGACACTGCGGCCTTTTATAATAACTCTAACAATCCTAAACTCTTAAGCAGCTAGTTAGAGGCTGTGCAAACGCACTAGATTAACCTAGCCTTCCTAAGGTCTGTCTAGAACCTAGAGTTACACAAGAGTGTGCTAAAGTTTAATAAACTCCTCTTTAAAGCAGTCTTAAAAGTGTGTAAAGAAGAAGAGCTCTTTAAAGGCTGTGCGCAAGGCCTTGTAAGCATATAAGAAGCTGTAGAAAGAGAGTGTCTTATTATGTTAGACAGCGCAGCCTTAAAGCTATTTAGAAGTAAGGTAACAACATTAGTACAGCAGCTAAGTAGAAGTAAGACGTAGAGGAGTTAGGTTATAATGTTTACTAAAGCATTAAAGTACTTCCTTATCTAGGAGAAGGCTGTTAAGGGTATTGTAGAGTTTCTTAAAGACTAAGAGAGCAGTAGAGAGCAGGGCAGCTGCAATAGGATGGCGGTCTCGCGGCAGGAGAGGCGGAAGCTGATACTAAGTTAGAGGGGTGTTAAAAGCACTAGACCTAGTTTCCGTAGACTGATCCGAATACACTGCGTGCACGCTTGGAATCGCATCTGGATGTAGTGAGAAAAGATGAACTTTGGTACGGTAGATTGATGTTTAGTTATCTCAGCTAGCTTAGACGTGAGGATAGAACCGAGGACGCACAAACCACCATGCATATTGCTACTCCAAATAGAGTATGGCCTGGGGGTTAGCGGTTTCTGACCCCTGTCGGTAGCGTTTCTCTCCTCAGCTGTCTAAGGGACTTTTGTGATTTTTTCTATAAATAGGCCTATTTTAAAAGCATCACAATAGAATTAGATTTACAATACCTCTACTACTATATGTCTAAATAGGCTTAGAATTTAATAAAATGTAGAGACAAGCTGTAGCTATAAAATAGTATATTTTTTACTAAATTCTAACTATTATTAGCAGAGAAAAATCTAAACGCGCGCAGAACTTTAACCTATTTATACCCTAATTTTAGATTTATAGTATTGCCCTCCTAACTAGGACTTAACAACTAGTAGACTAAATTCCCTAGGATTTTACAGGATCCCTGACAGAGCTAGTCTGAGACAGCTCCTAGATCCTCAGAGTCCTCAGACAACAGCTAGTTGAGCTGTAGACATGAGGGCGATCGCGACGTCCCTAGACTACCATCCACTGGACTACAGCTTAACAACTAGCAGACCAAATCTCCTAGAATTTTGCAGGCTCCCTGACAGAGCTAGTCTGAGACAGCTCCTAGATCCTCAGAGTCCTCAGACAACAGCTAGTTGAGCTGCAGACATGAGAGCGATCGCGATGTCCCTAGCCTACTATCCAGCTTGACAACCAGTGGCCTAGATCTCCTAAAACTTTGCAGGCTCCCTAATAGAGCTAGTCTAAGACGGCTCCTAGATCCCTAGAGTCCTCAGACAACAGCTAGTCGAGCTGCAGACATGAGAGCGATCGCGATGTCCCTAGCCTACTATCCAGCTTGACAACCAGTGGCCTAGATCTCCTAAAATTTTGCAGGCTCCCTAATAGAGCTAGTCTAAGACGGCTCCTAGATCCCTAGAGTCCTCAGACAACAGCTAGTTAAGCTGCAGACATTAGAGCGATCGCGATGTCCCTAGCCTACTATCCAGCTTGACAACTAGCAGCCTAGATCTCCTAAAATTTTGCAGGCTCTCTAATAAAGCCTGTTTTAGACAGGTCTTAAATTCTAAAGATAATATATTATGTAGTTAGAAAGTTGCATTAAGGTGTAAAGTATGTACCTGCGCTTGCCTTTTGCATCGCCCGCCGCCGTACCACGAAACGACCCTCTGAGCTACTGAAGAAGAATTGGCCTCAGGTCTTCCGTGACCGCCACCCATAGATCAAGTCGAGGACGAACAGGCCTAAGCCCTGTGAGCGTCATGATAATAGTATACATGATAAGGTGGTGCACTGGTTCGATGTGGTTAAGGAGGATCTCTGTAGACTAGAAGTCTTACCAGAGAATGTCTATAATATGGATGAGACAGGCATCATGCTTTCTATGCTTGGCTCTGTCAAAGTCCTTGTAAGGTAAGGGTGATTGACAGGACTATAGAGGAACTGGCACAAAGCGCACGATGGTTACTGCTATTGAATGCGTGTCAGCAAGCGGTGAGTATCTGAATCCGATGATCATCTGGCCGGCGTCTACTCATAGGAGTAACTGGACGACATACCCTACCCCTGTATGGTTCCACGCTCTGTCTGAAACAGGTTACAACGACTCTTTTATTAGCCTAGAGTGGATTAAACAAGTTTTTGACCCTTAGACTAAAGCTCGCGCTAATGGGAAACCACGGATACTAATATGCGATGGATTTGGGACACATGAAACTCTTGAGATCCTTGAATTCTGCTTTGAGAACAACATCATCTTATGTAGACTGCCCTCTCATACGTCTCACAAGACACAGCCCTGTGACGTATCAGTTTTTGGGCCATTGAAAACAGCGTACCGGGATGAGGTTGAGCGCCGCTACCGAGGAGGCCTGACGAATGTCAACAAAGAGCACTTCACTGCTATATACAGTCGTGCGAGAGAAAGGGGAATGACGAAGAAGAATATACTTGCTGGCTGGGCTAAGACCGGCCTGTTTCCGTTCAACCCTTCAAGGGTTCTTTGTGACATTGTAAAGCCGGATGCTCCACTGGGTATTCAGACACCCTACCCAGTCGAGGGTACGAAGAATGGAGCAGTTCCGACGCCAGTGAAGCCTGTGTCGTCAGAGGCTGAGCTGCTCAGCCTTGGTCAAGCAGAATTGTTATGATAGTCAGCCAAACGAAACGCGCCATTTTAGACTTGTTCAGAAGCTTGCCAACGCCGCCCAGCCCGACAAGCCCTTGACCAGAATTACATTGGGCTTCTCAAGGCTGCTAATAACGAGGCTAAGACTCGCCGCAATACGAAATCAGACATCCTGAAGAAGCCCGGGAAGAATGGTGAGGGGCGGGTAATGAAGCAGGAAGATCTTGAAGCACTTCGGGCCGACCGTACCGAACGTGCTAAGCAAGATGCTGCCAAAAAGGCTGTGGGTAAAGCAAAGCGTGGTCGGCCGAAGGCAACGACGCAGGCAGAGGGAGGTCAAGCAGAACAGAAACGTGGTAGGAAGAAACAAGAAGCAGATGTATTAGAGCCACCAGCAAAGATGGCACGAATTAGCGAAACGCTGACTGATCCAACGCTAGAAACAGGGAAAGCACCTGGGTACCGCGAATGTGGTGACAATGGAGAACATATTGATGGTGTCTGTCCGTACGTAAGTACGGCCGAATCAAGTTGCCTGAAACAGTTGGCTATCCAACCCGTGCGTTAGGGGCTACGTGTACTTAACAACCCTCTTTCTTCGTACGAAGAGAGAGGGCAGTAGTCGATTATAAGAAGATCCTTGCCTGCCCACCCTTATTACAGGCTGTACGCATAGCGTACAGCTGCCCACCACCTACCGCGTGCGTAGCCATCTAGAGGAGTGAGCCAACCGACAGTGCCAGTATATTATAGACGTGAACATGGACCTAAAAGGTGAATATAGTTACAGAGGAATGAAGGATCGGGCTTCCGCCCTTGCGCATAGCTCGACCGTATGCGGATGATGGTGCTGCACTAGAATGTTGGAGAACCTTAGTGACGCAAATGCGGATAATAGAGAATGAGGATTGCACTTAATATTGGCGCATAAGGGATAGGTTTTGTAGCAAGAACCTGGTTTTATTGTCCTCCACTAAGCCTCCGATGCGTAATGTAATGACCATGCCTGCCGTCGTGCTTGCTCTCAAACGATGAACATGCGGGGTGGCTTATCGCTTCAGCCACCGTCATGCTATTGGCTGCCTAGCTGTGTGGCTTTGTTGATGAGTCAACCAGAACACCAGGTCTTGGACGATCCGTCAGTTTGCAACGAGAGCTGCCCTCCGGAACAACTTCACGATGCTGTACAGCATACAGCTATATCAATGTCTCCACTGAGTTTAACGAAGCCTCAAGACGTTACGCCACCCCCAAGTATCAGAGAGCCGCCTTTGACACCTCCATCAACAGACAAGAAGCCAGCTGCAGACGCGCATCGCGTTATCGCGCTTTTTGAAGATATCCAAGCAGGAAGGAACATTAAAGGAGACAATTGGATAGAGTTTCAGCTTGCGAAAGGAGCGTTTGATCAGATACAGAGTACGCTCCGGCAAGACGGCCCGCTGTCGAAGTTTGTGGAAGCCAGTATACGGTGAGTGGACTTCAAAGACCACGATGAACACGGCTGAAAAAGACCTTTGGCAGATGTGACTACGACGAAGCCATACGTCTACTAGTAGTTCGTATGCCTACTGGGGTACACGAGTTCTTTATCGACGAGGTGGAGGATGACATTCGGAGCCAGCTAAAAGTAATCCGTAACAGACCTGACCGGACGGCTCAATTCGCGCAGAATATACGACCGGCCCGATCCACCGAAATACGTTTCGCTACTAGCAAGTCGAGATACCATCCAGACATATCGTTCGGGCATAAGGATGCACGATTTCCGGGCTTGATCGTGGAAGTCGCATTCTCGCAGGAGTATAAGCACCTACGCCGGTTAGCTGAGAATTATCTTCTAGATTCAGATGCAAACGTACGGGTCGTCATCGGCATAAACATTGCATATGGTAAGGTGTCGCGCAAAGCGACGTTATCGATTTGGAGGCCAAAGCTATCTAAAACTCCGAGTGGATATGACTTAGAAGCCGAGGAAGAGGTGACGGATGAGGTAGGCTTAATCTTCATAATCCTTACGTGTTCTCAATGCTCTAACACTCCAAATCATCAGGTTTTCCGTGATGACGAAGGTAACCCCGTTGAACACACCGGCTTACGACTCCACCTGAGCGATTTCACCTGCAAAAGAATTGCACAAGAGGAAATGGGAGATGAGGATGCAGAAATTTACATTTCTGGGACACAGCTCTGCCGATATGTTGCTACAGCAGAGAGCAATGTACAGCGAGCCATGCGCGAGGAACCTTTGCCTGATGGTATCAACATCAACAAACGAAGACGATCGACAACGCCTCCTGAAGAGATCAGATCGGAGGATGAAGCAAGGTACATTAAGCAGGAGAAGAGAGCGGCGAAGCGCGGGGATTATGACGTTGATTACGAGCATAAATAATAAACCAAGAGCTTCTTAGAGTGATCAACCATCTTGCCGGTGATTTGCTATGAAGTAGATGCCTGCCCGATGCTGCTGTATAAAGCGCTCTTTTATCGTAAAGCATAAGCAAGGATGCGGCTACATTGTCTTCCTCCGCGTTGTGCTGACTACGGTAGCTTGAAAATGCATTATTCGGACTCTTCCTATACAGCGAAATCATCCTCGTTCTTCCGATTCCCCAACAAGTGCAAAACAGTAACCCTCAAGTTCTAAGACGGCTTGCATCAAACATGCTCATGTACTGGCTATTCCCCGAACCACCACTTTCCATTTGCACCATAAGCTTTCGCGCTTCTGAACCATCTTGTCCCATCGTGCCAGTGCCGTACACCACCTCTGCCAACTTCGCAACTGCATCGGCATCTTGTCATCTCCGTAATGTTCAATCACTTCTTGCTTCGTTACCTTTCTCCCTAAGTTGCTCCACGCGCCGCTCTCGCCAAAATTAGCACATTCTTCGTCTTTCTCAGATGTCCACCATGGCGGAAGAAGCTTTGGGCGTGCGGCTGCCTTTTCGAGGTACTAGCGGAAGGGGTCGGTGCTAGAGGGAGCGCCAGTATAGACAGTATGCAGCATAGCCTTGCCCTCCTAAGCAAAGTCGTCTGCTTAGCAGATGCGAAAGGAGTTGACAAGAAGTTTATACACGTCAGTTTGCAGACGATCGTACAAATAATTCCCTTAATCAAGCCTTGTGAAAGGATTAGGCATATGCACCTCTAGGCCTTTTAAGCGAGGTGCAGAATAGGTACTGCTGTGCTCAGTGTGCGTCTTCTAATCAGCCTTCTGGCAATCGCGACTACAGTATTAAGTTGTTTTACATTGTGTGCAAAGTTTAAGCCAGGCGACGCTCTTAGTAGCAGCTGTTTTGTTGCACTTAGCGCAAGTAGGTTCTTTATCTACTATGTTGTAACAGATAGTTGTAACAGATAGCCTAAGCCTAAGATTAGTGTAGACACGTTATGTAAAGAAGTGTAGAACTAAAGAGTAAAGTAATAAATAACTGCTAGTATTTAAGGCTATACTAAGCCTTAGCTAAGTTACTGTCTTACTTCTTAACTAATTGCCTCCTGCAGGCGTCTGCAGATGTCCACCCGGCTCTCGCGCCCGTGCGGTGGACATCTCCTACTGCACCGGCCGCCTGCTGAGCCCGCCGCTGATGGCTCCTGTACTACACACACACACACACACACACACACACACATATATGTATGGATGGAGAGGCCCTAGGGCAGGCTAGGCCCTGCTCTTACTTTTATCCTAAGCCTAAGCTTTAGCGTGCACTGCTTACTGCTATATATACTCTCCTTTACTATACACACTTACTTAAGGGTAAAAGTAGGGTAAGGTAAGCAAGCATAGGTTTATAGCGCAGGGTGTGTTATAAGTGCGCAGATGTTAACATTATAAACAACACTAAGCTGCGCGCTAATACACACTATATTCTAGCTATAATTTATAAGCAGTAGCTAGAGAATATACACTAGGTTTATATTCTAAAGTAAGAGGAATTTAAGGTAGTATTCTTGCCTACCTGCCTACTTATTTATGTGTCTATGTCTGTGCTAACTCCTGTGTCTAGGCATTTTATAAGAGGAAGCAGTACTATAATAGTAGCACTATTATAAAAAAAAAGCTACTACTTTTTTTAGTTAAAAAAGTTATAAACTAGCCCTTAAAAACTAAGTTTTATAAAGTAAAAAATAATGTTTTTTAAAATAAAACATGTTTTACTTAGTGCTTAGTTTACACTTATATTACAGCTATTACTAACCTCTAGTAAGAGTAGAAGGCGCTAGGCATAAACAGCTACTTATTACTGCATGTAAATAGTGTAAGGGAGTACCTTAGGTCTCTACAGCGCAGAGATGCCTAGTAAGATTAAGAGTAGTACACTAATAAAAGTAAAAACACGCTGCTTAACAGCTACACTAAGGACAAGTTTAAGCAGCTCTATAGCAAGCTATAGACATATAGCGTAAACATAAGCTTGTTCTTAGCAACAGTAAAGTGTTACTTCTGTACACTAGTTAATCTTATGCTAGGCTACTATATGCTTATGTGTAGAGGTAACTGCTGTTTTGTAGAGATCTTAGACCTATTTACTTTTAAGTTTAAAAGAAAAAGCCTTATGCGCTACATACCTCTAATATTTACTACTTATGTAAGTAAGCAGAACTAGTATAGCTAGCTTAAGATAATAAGCGCGCTACAGTATAAAAAGCTAATCTTTTACATGCTTAGCAGCCTAGCCTTTTACCTACTTTATTACTAGAACCTAGGTAATAAGCCTTTTCTTAACTTTAGTAAGCGCTTAGCCTAGTACTACATATAGCTAATTAAGGCTAGCATAGGTAATTGTATAGCAGCCTTCTTCTACAACTTCTAGCGTAACTAGGTTGTAAAGGTATATAGTTACACTAAGATTTTATTTTAAAAAAAAACTTACTTTTTATGTAGTAAAGTAGCTAAGCTAGTAGAGCTTAAAAAAGTTAGTAAAAATTAAATTTAGTAAGTAAGTAAATAAAATTAAAAGTAAATAGTTAGCTACTATTTTAACTTACTACTATAAAAGTTTATAAGGTCTATAGCTAGCTATCTACTATAAATAGGCTGCTTTAAGATCTCTTATATAGCTATTATGCTTTTAGACAAGCTTCTATCTCTTATCTAGCTAGAGCTTAATGCGTAAAAGAGCTGCTTTAGCTTACATGCTAGCTAGATTAACAACCTAGCTATAAAAGGCTTTATAAGCCTACTGCTTTACTTTAGAAAGGTAATTCTTTAGGACTTAGTTACACTGCGCTAGCGCTTTTTTAGCCACCTTATGTAGAGCTACCTAGTGTTCTAGCACAGAGCGTATGCTGCCTTTACTTAGGACATTAACGTGTCTTTTAACACAGAGGTAGCTCCTAGTTAGCTATTAGTCTTATACTAGGTAATACCCCTACTTGCTAACTAGCTTTAAGCGCTAGATACTTAAAATAAGTAGTAAATAAAAAAGCTTAAAAAAAAGCTTAAAAAAAAGCTTAATTATATATATAAGCTATAAAGATTATAGTTTTAGTAGCTATAAGTGCTTATATCTAGCAGCCTTATGTTCTGCCTAGAGGCATTGCAGGCGCAGGGCAGTCTGCTGCTGCCACTACCTCTACTTAGGCACACAGCAGCTGCGCCGCTGTTGCTGGCAGACATAGATTTAAGCAGGTATACCTCTGCCTAGGCCAGCCTCACGCCTACGCTGTCTGCGCGCTTGCCTAGCCTATTGCCGCTGCTAGCAGCGCTTAAGCTAGCGCCTAAGCTAGAACCTACACTAAAGCATTGCATGTGCTGCGCTATAAAGACTATAAAGGATCTCTAGCATAAATAGACAGTAGGCCTATAAGGCTAGCCTTCTATTACTAAGCTAAACAGGCGCTAGAGAAATAAGTAAAGGTTAAGTTATTAAAGTAAGCTATAGTAGTACTTTTTATAGCTTAAAGTTATTAAGAAGATTAAGCGCATTACATAAGTGTAAAGAACTAGTAAGAAAGTAGCTATATAGTAGGTAAGCTAGCAGTAGCAGCAGTAGAGGGTTTTACTAGACTAGCTCTGCAAGCATTTTAGAGTTGCTTAAAAGGAGAGCAATTACCCCTAGTTTTATAGTCTTAGTATTATATATAGTTATTATTATAAAAGTTAATTAATTAGTGTTTAGATAGTTATAGCTACTAAGTAAAAATTTTATTTTATATTATTTTATAATTTACTATGTCTTGTTGCAATTTACTGTATTATTCTATAATATGCTACATTTTGTTGTAATTTACTATATTATTTTATAATTTACTACATTTTATTATAATTTACTGCATTATTTTGTAATTTACTGTGTCTTGTTATAATTTACTATATTATTCTATAATATGCTGTGTTTTATTATAATTTACTGTATTATTCTGTAATTTACTATGTTTTGTTATAATTTACTATATTATTTTATAATTTACTATGTCTTTTTATAATTTACTATATTATTCTATAATTTACTACTTTTTATTATAATTTAATACATTATTCTGTAATTTACTGCATTATTAGAATACTGTGTAAGCATAGTATACTTCTGTTACACTATAACATTTATAAAGAGGTACCTAGTAGCTATACAGTGCGTTCCTAGCAATGTAATAGTAATTATAATGTAGCTCTGCAGCGCTTTAAAGCTAAAGCAGCCTAGCAGCTATTATAAGACTAAAAATTAGGCTATTTGCACATATAGCAGCGTAGATATTGCCTATAAAGGGTAGGTAATAAATATAGGTAGATACTAAAAGTTAATAAGTATATAGCTCTTTTTACTAGTAAAAATCTTACTAAGCTACTAAATTAGCTATATAAATGTTACTATAAATATACTATTAGTATTTAAGGCTGCACTAAGCTTTAGCTAAGTTACTGTCTTACTTTTTAACTAATTGCCTTCTGCAGGCGTCTGCAGATGTCCACCTGGCTCTCGCGCCTGTGCGGTGGACATCTTCTACTGCACCGGCCGCCTGCTGAGCCCGCCGCTGATGGCTCCTGTACTACACACACACACACACACACACATATATGTATAGATAGAGAGGCCTTAGGGCAGGCTAGGCCCTGCCTTTACTTTTATTCTAAGCCTAAGCTTTAGCGTGCACTGCTTACTACTATATATACCCTCTTTTACTATACACACTTACTTAGAGGTAAGAGTAGAGTAAGGTAAGTAAGTATAGGTCTATAGTGTAGAGTGTGTTATAAGTATGTAGATGTTAACATTACAAATAACACTAAGCTGCGCACTAATACACACTATATTTTAGCTATAATTTATAAGTAGTAGCTAGAGAATACGCACTAGGTTTATATTCTAAAGTAGAAGAAATTTAAAGTAGTATTCTTACTTACTTACCTACTTATCTATGTGTCTATGTCTATGCTAACTCTTACATCTAGGCGTTTTATAAGAGAAAGTAGTACTATAATAATAGCACTATTATAAAAAAGAAGCTACTACTTTTTTTAGTTAAAAAAGTTATAAACTAGCTCTTAAAAACTAAGTCTTATAAAGTAAAAAGTAATATTTTTTAAAATAAAATATGTTTTGCCTAGTGCTTAGTTTACACTTATATTATAGCTATTACTAACCTCTAGTAAGAGCAGAAAGCGCTAGGCATAAACAGCTACTTATTACTATGTGTAGATAGTGTAAAAAAGTACCTTAGGTCTCTACAGCACAGAGATGCCTAGCAAGATTAAAAGTAGTATACTAATAAAAGTAAAAACACACTACTTAACAGCTACACTAAAGATAAGTTTAAGCAGCTTTATAGTAAGCTATAGATATATAGCATAGACACAAGCTTGTTTTTAGCAACAGTAAAGTGTTACTTCTATACGCTAGTTAATCTTATGCTAGGCTACTACATGCTTACATGTAAAGGTAACTACTGTTTTATAAAGATCTTAAACTTATTTACTTTTAAGTTTAAAAAAAAAAGCTTTATATACTACATGCCCTTAATATTTACTACCTATGTAAGTAAGCAGAACTAGCATAGCTAGCTTAAGATAATAAGTGTGCTATAGTATAAAAAGCTAATTTTTTATATGCTTAGCAGCCTAGCTTTTTACTTACTTTATTACTAAAACTTAAGTAATAAGCTCTTTTTTAACTTTAGTAAGTGCTTAGCCTAGTACTACATATAGCTAATTAAGGCTAGTATAGGTAATTATACAGCAGCTTTCTTCTATAACTTCTAGCGCAACTAGGTTGTAAAAGTGTATAGTTACACTAGAATTTTATTTTAAAAAAAAACTTACTTTTTATATAGTAAAGTAGCTAAGCTAGTAAAGCTTAAAAAAGTTAGTAAAAATTAAATTTAGTAAGTAAGTAAGTAAAATTAAAAGTAAATAGTTAGCTACTACTTTAACTTACTACTATAAAAGTTTATAAGGTTTATAGCTAGCTATCTACTATAAATAAGCTACTTTAAGATCTCTTATATAGCTATTATACTTTTAGATAAGCTTCTATCTTTTATTTAGCTAAAGCTTAATGTGTAGAAAGGCTGCTTTAGCTTACACACTAGCTAGATTAATAACCTAGCTATAAAAGGCCTTATAAGCTTACTACTTTACCTTAAAAAGGTAGTCCTTTAGGACTTAGTTACACTACGCTAGCGCTTTTTTAGCTACTCTGTGTAGAGCTACCTAGTGTTCTAGCACAGAGCGTATGCTGCCTTTGCTTAGGACATTAACACATCTCTTAACATAGAGGTAGCTTCTAGTTAGCTATTAGTCTTATACTAAGTAATACTTTTACTTACTAACTAGCTCTAAGCGCTAAATGCTTAAAATAAGTAGTAAATAAAAAAGCTTAAAAAAAAGCTTAAAAAAAGCTTAATTATATATATAAGCTATAAAGATTATAGTTTTAGTAGCTATAAGTGCTTATGTCTAGCAGCTTTATATTCTACCTAGAGGCATTACAGGCGCAGGGCAGTCTGCTGCTGCTACTACCTCTACTTAGGCACATAGTAGCTGCGCTGCTGTTGCTAGCAGACGTAGATTTAAGCAGGTATACCTCTGCCTAGGCTAGCCTTACGCCTACGCTATCTGCGCGCTTGCCTAGCCTATTACTGCTGCTAGTAGCGCTTAAGCTAGCGCCTAAGCTAAAACCTGCACTAAAGCATTACATGTGCTATGCTATAAAAACTATAAAGAATCTCTAGTGTAAATAAATAGTAGGCCTATAAGGCTAGCTTTTTATTACTAAGCTAGACAAGCGCTAGAGAAATAAGTAAAAGTTAAGTTATTAAAATAAGCTATAGTAGTACTCTCTATAGCTTAAAGTTATTAAAAAAATTAGGCGCATTATATAAGTGTAAAGGACTAGTAAGAAAGTAGCTATATAGCAGGTAAGCTAGTAATAGTAGTAGTAAAGGGTTTTACTAGACTAGCTCTATAAGCATCTTAAAGTTGCTTAAAAAGAAAGTAATTACTTCTAGTTTTATAGTTCTAGTATTGTATATAGTTATTATTATAAAAGTTAATTAATTAGTGTTTAGATAGTTATAGCTACTAAGTAAAAATTTTATTTTATATTATTTTATA